CGGGCCTGGGGCAAAGGGCACGGCTACCGCGGCACCCACATGAAAACAGTCGAGAGCGCAGCGCTATCGGGAACGAAACTACGCCGGAGCAGCCTTTGGGGCGAGGGTGCCCAGGATCACGTTTCCCGCAGCAGGACGACGGTGCTCTCTGGGCTGCCCGGCGCAGGACTACGTTTTCCGTTAGACCTGCGCAAATTGTGCTTTGCACCTCCTCGGGTCAGCGCCAGCACAGTTCATCTGCTGGATCTGGATGCCACCTAGCTCCTGCAGCAGCCTGCTCCCTCCAGAGCTCCCCCGTGCACCACGTTACACGTACGGGAAGGAAAGCAGCATCTCTGCAAGCCTGGAGAAAAGCCCTCCTGGCGGCAAAGCGGGGACCCACCTGCATGCCAGCTTCCTTCCACCGCCCCCGCGGTCGCCTGGCTGCTTCCCCTTGCCCTCGCCCCCGGCACGTCTCCTGGAGCCGGCGGCCAGCAGCAATCTGAAGCACGGCAGGGCTGTAAGGGCACACAGACGCTCGCTGGCTCTGGATTCACGTTGAGCTTGCAGTCCAGGCTTTATTTCAGCTGTCACTTGCTATTATTCATACCTCCTAAGGATGGCCTTTACGTTTTTTTTTTTGAACGTCTCCAAATTATTTTCCTTGGCTGCCCGAAAGGATTTTGGGAGACTGAAGTGACAGCACACGCCCCAGCCCTTTCCCTGCCAGCATGTAAAAGCAGCGGATATCTGCCACCCCTTGCCCCGAATTTGGTGGGAATTTGGAAGGGGCAGAAGCACAGGAGACATCCCAGGGAGGGCGCTGAGGTTAGAGACGCTCACAGAGCTCTTGCCACCTCTGCTACTCACGTTGGCCAGCACGTAAGCCTGTGCGGTGCGGTGCCCTGCCCACCCCTCCGATGCTGGGAGAGACCCTGCGAGAGCGTCAGTGTTAATCACGTCTTGCAGAGCGGAGCAGGGAGACAGTAACACCTTAAAAAAAAAAAATTAATAGGAAAAAAAAATCGCAAAGGGCAATTACAAAAGAAGCTGCTTCGCTGACCCTCTTTGAAGAATCCACATCTACACGTGTCCCCTGTGCAAATTAGGAAAGGAAAAATTAAACTGCCCATCTCTGCCTTTGCTGTGACATGGATCAGAGACTTTGGGCAAGGAGCTATCACAGAAAAGATTGTTTTATTTTTTTTTTCCTCCCCTCTCCCCTCCTTTATAAGCTATTTTCCACCTGCAGCCTGCTGATTGCAGCACAAAAGCAGCCGCTTTGCGCACACTTGCTGCTCCAAACAGAGGAAAAGCACTGGTTACTCCAGCGGAGCCTCTCCCCCGTCCGCTCCAGAGCGGAGATGGCAAGCGGAGGGGCGGCTGCTGCGCACAGCCAATTCCTGCGCCGAGACAGAGGCGCAGGAGCCCTCTCGCGCCTGGAAGATTGGGGAATTCACGAGACTAGGAGCCCTGGGAACTACGGCGATTTCGGAGAAGCTGGAGTCATCTTCTCCCCAGGGAGCACCCGTTTTCCCTGGAGGGCAGCCAAGGTAGAAAATTAGTACACGTGAAGCTTTTCTCATGGTTTATTTTTGACATCTTTTTAAAAAGTTTGTTTCCTCCCCCCCCCCCCCAAAAATAATTTTTCCTGCTGCCTGATGTTGTTACAAATCCTGGCCCTGCCTCTGCTGAGTAACAATGGCCGATGCATCAGTCAGGCCCAATTGTAAGGAGTGAATAGAAGTTAAACTAGAAAGATTTAATCTGTTTGAAAGCACTGTTTTTGGCAAAACCTATTTAACTCAAATGGCTTGTTAATATATGCAGTAGAGGAAGTCTTTCTTTTAAACCAGCCAACTACTTTATTTCATTAACAAAGACGTTAAAGACTTAGAATAAATACCCCACTACTGCCTTATAGCTGAACAAAGATAAGGGCAAGAAGATGCTCAATTTCCGATTTGCCTGTAGTTAAAAAACAGAACAAAACCAAAAAAAACCCCCCTCAAATCCCAGTTTATACAACAGTTGCAAAAAGGGGACCGAGACCCCACACCTGAAGAATCTCTCTGCAAGGCATCCTGAGAGCAGAGCTGGCACAAAAGCAACCTGGTCACGTTTACCACGAGGCTGCGGAGACCAGGGCTTACAACTGCCTCTCCAAAAACGGGGCGACGAAGTCCAGTCGCCCCGCCACAGACAGCGATACAGCTCATGGCTTCCCATGGTCTCAGGCACAACTCACTCTCCCAAGTAGCTGAGAGCCTCAGCAATTAAAGCAGGTAATAGTCCTCTACCTGCTACAGGTGCTCCGGCAATAAGTCTAAATGCATTACTACGCTCAGCGCACTTGGTCTCTGCGCTGTTGAGACCAAGGGCAATAATCCTTCTCGTTTGCTCTCCAAAGGATTTTGCGAGTTGGCCTGAAGGAGGGGTGGCAACATGGTGCACCAGGCAAGCAGGGACGGACTCGGGTGGTCATATTGCTCAACACTCTCCCACAAGGGAGGATGACAGGGCCCTTGGGGACTGCGTGCCACAGGAACGGCTGACCGTCAACGTGGGGGCACGGTGCCGATGCCTCGCTGTAGCAGTAACACCGGGCAAGCCCGTGGAAGAGGAAAGCGAGAAAAAGATCCTTTACTGGAAAAGGTGGGGATTTGCAGAAAGCCGAATGCAATTACCTCGGCTGGAAGCGAGCCAGGACACCAGGGTTAACACCACTACGTGCGTAACTACTCGCACGCGGCCCTCGTGGAAGCTGTCGACACACAAAATGATTTCTCAAGCCAAACACTGCAGTAAATGCTGTGCTTTACCCTCTGACCGTTGCAGGCCCTCGCTGGGTATTTCTAGTCTCCAAAAGGAAGGAGGAAAGGAAAGAACGCTTTTGAGCGAGGAAGGAGTTAGATTTGCCTTTCCAATTACCTGCTACTGTCTTTATGACCTTCCACAGTTGAACAAAATTACTCTTAAATACAAGGATCCTGCACTCCGGTTGAACACTGGCATTAGCAGCCCATCTATGTTCACTGCTGAAGAGCCCTGACATATCGATGTTAATTTAAATTTCCCCTTGACCATCACTTTTGATTCCCTCCAGCAGTGAACTTCTTTTAGCACTGAAGCATGTTTCTCCTACTCCTCTGTTAAATGCTTTAAAATTAATTAAAGAGGCAGGCTTCCTATGCAAGATTTTAAGTTTCCTTTCTCAAAGGAAAAATCTTACTCACCCAATACTTTTCCCAGGGATACAAATGCTGGAGGCAAAACTGTTCTGGGGCAGCTACCAGCCAAGGCTTTTGTAATCCTGCTCTTTCAAAACAAGAAATTGAGAATAAGAACTCTAAGCGCCCACCATCTGCAATTAATTTTCTCGGAGAGAGTGGTTAAGCACTGGAACAGGTTTCCCAGAGGGACTAATGAATTTCTATCCTTGTTCAGTCGAGTTTTGAACATCTTGCAGCCCCTGAGCAACCTGATCTAGCTTTGAAGCAAGCCCTCCTTTGAGGGGGTTGGACTAGAGACCTCCAGAGGTCCCTCCCAAGCTCAGTTATTCTCCTGTTCCAAAAAGGCTGAAAACCTGATTGAGGCTATTAGTTTTGAAGGCAAAGGAAGTTGTAGAAGGCCACAGTATCCCTAGAGGTACAGCGTACAGCGTCACTGCGCCTACCGTATGAATCGATGAAGGCAACCCACGTCAATCAGCCCGTCCCAAGGGATGCTTCTGAACAAAGCTCACTAGCTGCAGCCTTCTGCAGAAGAGAAGACCTTTCGAGGGTCTTCGCAGGAATCGTTCTGAGAAGGCATAACCATCTCCATCTCAGATAACATAACTGGGAGGACATCACAGGCCTGGCCCTACCACATGGGTCACCGAACGTTAACTCTTCTCCAGGTGACCATCAAATATAGGTCAAACCAAAGGCTCTTGGGAGAAGAAAGACTATTTCAGCTGCTTCTTGTCCAGAGGACATGATGAGACGATTTTTTAAAAGGAATTCAAGCAAGTGTTGTCAGAAAAATTACAGCAACCAATTATATGCAACCTGCATGTCAGCAGCTGCAAAGAGTTACCTGTAAGAAAGAAAATTAAGGGGATTAAAGTAAGGAGCATACCACTTCTGAACAACATAAAAAATGCCAACCTATATTTGTGAGCGGCTGTTTCTAATTAGAGCTAGACACTGAATTTGCATTTATCTTGATTGAAACAAAATGAAAACTTAAAAAAATAAAGGAGGCTGATGTTAAATCGTTTTCCCTGTTTAATTCAAGCAGTAACCTTAGAGCATTTATAATAGCTATTTTTCTCCTGTTTCAAAGATCTCTGCTTTGTTAGAGTAATTTCAATTTAAAATACAGAGGACTTAAGCGGGGGTGGAGGAAGAATGAAGTTAGTTACCTGTCAAAAAGGGGCTGAGCAGCACAGAGCAGGGAGTACAACGAGAAGGGCTCACGGGCTCCTGTCAAAACAACAGACACAAATAACAGCCACGATAGCAGCCGCTTGCAAAATAAATCAGTAAAGAGGATGGAAGCCATGAGGCAGAGGCTGAGGGAGATCCCCTGGCAACCGCACCTGAATCCAGGGAAAGGGCGACGATCACTGACCACCAGCTCCCAAGGACTCCCGCTGGGAGACGCGGGCACGAGAGCAGAGGCGCTGTGCGGAGCCACCTCCGCGTGCAGGTGGAGCTGGGGATGGGGGCCTACACAAAGCTGACAGACCTCAGCAAACAGGCACTGACCAACAAGCCCTTTAAAAGGCAGCAAAACGAAAAAAAAAAT